TGAACAATGTCAATAGTCATCCAAATCATGTTAATAAGCAATTCTCATATAATTAGTAAAAGTCATGAAGTATCAAGCAGATAAAAAATGTTGAGTGGTTGTTTTTTTTCCCAGACAGGGTCAAAGATGGCCCTCCAGGGTATGGCTCTCTGGGACCAAACAGAACATTAGGGTTAAGCACTGTATAAGCATGGGATTTAGGTTATGTACTAAAATATCTGTCTGTGTGTTTGTGTTAGACAGAATTTCAAACAGTCTAGAATCTCTGTTTCTCTCTATTTGAGATGAAAGCAGCTGATCAACAGGGGAGCCATATAGCTGATACACCAATAAACCGGCTAGAGTTACAGCCACAAATGCACTGTGGGACTTTACAGTGGTACAGTTTGTTACAGTGTTCATTTCTATTTAGGGAGCAGCATACGTCGCATCAGAAACCGTGTCTTTGTAAAACCCCATATAATCTTTCCACCACTATTTACAAAATAAGACAGTAGCTTATTAAGGCGGAGAAACTCCACAGCAGACATCTTCTAGGCCAGCATGGAAACAGATCAGGCCAACAAATCCTTCCTCTCACAAAAGCAAGATGGAAATTTGGCTGGCGGAAGCAATAAACTGATAACAAACCCAGCAACCCTTTTTTTTTAATACAGTGACTATTCATTATGAGAGATGGATAGCAATGAGCCCAGTCACCTCAAACACTACCATCACAAATTCACATCATTATGCAAAGATGAAAATATGACACAAAAAAGTTGCCTCTCATCTGTTCAGGCTCCTCCAAATCAGTTCTAAATGAACCTTGATTTTCAAGTGTTGATCAATATAACCATGTTAGAACAGGCAGATAGTGTGTGTGTGTGTGTGTGTGTGTGTGTGCTTGTCACATTGTATACAGCACATGTGTTTTTGTTCTCCTTGATGGCTGTGGCAACAATAGGAGATTAATTATTTAGACGGATTCAATCAATTACTCAGCTTGTGTTCTCTATCAGTGTCTATGTGTGTGCATGTGTAAGTTTTAGCAACTAAGTGTGCAATTTTTAATCTGCAAGGGTGTCGTAGTAAATCATTATAAGCTATAGTACATAAAACTGATGTTGAAAGCAAACAGGGGAAAAGTCACCTTAATGATTGCTACCCAGACTGTAAACTTCTCACTTGCACGTTTTTATATGGCTGCATATCACAGAGTAGCCAAGAACATACAGAGTGAAGCTTCTATAAATCACAGTAAAACACAAATAGCCCTCTTCTACTGGTGGCCTTGTACAAACAGGGACAAAGGTTGCTCTTAAATTAAAAAGGGACAGTTCCCTTCCTCACTCCTCTTCCTGGCTTTTTTCTTTCTTTATTTTCTTTGTGTCTTCTCCTGCTGTACTACTACTCCTACTTGACTTCCTTTCATTACAGATGAGGTAGGCTAGGGGGTATAGAAAGCATGCAACGTATTCAAATTGTAGTTTTCATGTCATCTTGTTTGAAGCTCAACATTTTGCTCTTTTTGTTGGCTTTAACTACCCGGTCTCAGTCAAAAGTCGTCAAATACTGCAGCCTGGTCAGCGGCCCTACGCTAGGGCTACACGATATGGTACATTTTTTTTTTTTTTTGACAGATATCATATATATATATATAATTCATGATTAATGGGAACGATCATTTTTGCATCATAATTTTCATTTTCACTTAAAAGAATATCAGATTTTGATGTTGCTTGGGGTCTATACCAAACAAAAATGTTTTCTTACATCTTGAGAAGTAAGATTATTTGCCTGGGCATCTCTGCAGAACTACAGTACTTTATTATAATGCTGTTTTATCATTCATTTTACCTTTATCAAAAACTGCAGCTTGCAATTTGGATTTTGCAATTGGTCATATTGCGATTTTTGTCAGCCCTACCCTATGCTTCAAAATATGACACTGTAGGTACTCCTTTAGTTAGTTTAGTCATTTTTGGACATGCCCACTGTGAAAGTCACGTGACTTTGTATACAGTGCAAGGAAGTCTGTATATTGAGGTGGAGGCATGGATGGATGGCTCAAACAAACCCAACGCTTTAACCCAGAACACCGCTGTTTGTTTCTTTTAAGTAATGTACTTTAGTTACATCAGGTACGTAACTTAACTTCCTAATCCTAACCTACCTAAAGTAGTGTTGGTGCCTGGACTTAATAAATATCCGGTTACACTTTCCAAATAACGCTTACATGGTTATTGTTGTCAAATGGTAACAGTTTGTTGTTTATTGCCCCGAATATCCAGAAATCAAGAAGGATGCCAACAGCGCCATATTTTGAAGCGGAGGGCCAGAGACCAAGCAGCAGCATTTGAGCTGGGAGTGGGAACAAGGCCATTTGAACCTGGTCTACTGATGTACAATTCACAACATCATAAGTGAAAATTGTCTGAAGGATCAGAGATCGGGAGCTGGGACGGGATGTTTTATCAAATTGTTGAAGCCCATGAAGTTTAATTTTTTTTTTGTTGTTGTTTTTCCTTATTATTTAGTCAAAGCAAAATAGTTCTCGTGCCCTCCCATTTTGAAAATAAAACCTCACAAGTTTCTTCCGTTAGAAGCTTTGACTATAATTTGTTCTGACCACAATTTGTTAATATTAGGGTTGAGTTCTTTGAGGTACAATTATATGGTTAGTCATTTTTGTCAATGTGTCTATTGTTATTGAAGGCTAGTTGTTACAACAATTGAATGTCTGACGCCTGCCTGTTTTAGTCAGAAGTCTGCGCTTGTTTTGTACTTATTACTTTTTGTGACTGACTGCAAATTTGCTGTAAAAGCGGTCTCGTGTCTGTCCGTTAGTGTGTGCTTTTACAGAATATGCTCAGACTCAACATTCAATTACAGTTGCCTCATAGAGAGATTTAAGTTTAATGCCCCAGTCGCACTTAATCTGAGAGATTCTATTTTAACGCTCTAGTCTCAAATCCCTCAATGAGAATTTTTTTTCCCCTTTTTATGATTTTCTCCTCTTTTGCTTTACCCTTATCTCTTCTTCTTTTCCCTTCTCTCCCTCCAACTGCTCTTTTCCATCATTTTATATTGAAGTCAAACTCAACGGTTTGCTCATTATCATAATATAATGGGCTATGGATCCTGGCAAAACTTGACCCCGAAATACCACCAAAACCTGCAGTCAATCATTTCCCCTCTTTTCATCCTCATTTCTCTTCCTTTCTTCCTTCCTTTCTTTCTATCCCCTATCCTCTCATTTCCGACTTCATTTTTACCTCCCTCTTCAAACTCCCACTTCCCAGCAAATAGCTGTTATGATCAAATACGCTGCAGTGGTATTTTACACAGCAAGGGCCTTCATTCATTAAGTAGAACACTTGTTGGCATAATATCCCCCCCCCCATCCCACCCACCACCTTAACCAAAGCTAAGTGATGGAGAACTGCATTTACTCCATGGTGTCTTTTCTTTGCCTTGTGTTTACAGTAGCTGTGGGAGGGCGGGTGGAAAGGTTTCTTTTGTTTCCTTCCTCCTCTTCCATTCTCTCCTCAGCCATCACACCTACGAATGATGCCTCACCCAGTCCTATCAAACACCCAACACTAAACTGTAAGAACAAGGCAGCCTCTCAGGCATGTAATTCCTCCTGTTGGCATTAGTTTAGAAGCCTATAGATGGCTCCCTGTTCAGTCACAGTTGCCGTGTAAAAGTGTTTTTCAAGCTCAATTTGACTCCTCTCTGGTCCATCACAGGCAGCTGGTCCTATCATCAACACCTTGACAAACAAGCAAACCCACACTCTCGCAAGCATAAAAGTAGGCTCATAAACGTGTAGCCTGGCTGGACATCCTAACAATGAGAACATGTAGAGAAGTGTGGAGCTTTCTTTTTGTGGGGCAGGTGAGCGATACAAGGAGAGAAATCTCTCTTTTCATAGGAGGAGACACTGTGCCTTTCAGGCCTAGACACGGTCGGGTTCACCAGTCTCCCAGGATAGATGAGGACACTGCTGAACAGTGGCCCTGTTGTGGCCCTATAAAAAGTCTGAGGCTTTGGCACTTCTGCCTAACACTGGCAAGTGGCAATGAGAATTACAGCAGTGATTCACTGTTTTTTTTCCACCAGAGAGCTCAGCTACAAAACTACCTTCCTGTCACTGGAGTGGCTTTTTCACTCGAATATACTGGTTTAATATATAGTTAAATTTAAAATACTACAAATAACACCTATGCCAACCTTCCCATGGGGCAGTATGATTGCATTTAAAATGCTATTTGTTTTCTTTGAGGGCATCTGGCTCATTATCAGAGCCTCCACTGAAGGCTGCCCTGACTCATGTGCCTTCTTTGAGGGTGATGCTTGAGGGTGAAATGTATAATTATGAAATCAGTGGGACTTGTTTCCTTTTTTCTTCTTTTTTTTTTTTTTTCTCTCCTTTCTGTTCTTTTTTTTTCCAGGCTGAGACCGAGCTGGGTTTTCTGCCTTGCTGGTGCTTGGCAAACCGTGGTCTGTGCACGCATCAGTGTTAGAGATCTGATCCTCTACAGGCGAGAATGCCAATACACCCTAAGGAATATAGATTAGAGATCTTTGTTGGAAAGGCAGAGACAGGGTGGCAGTGTGTGTGTGTGGGGCAGGTGGGAAGAAGGAAGGCAGTGAGAAAGGTACATGAGTCTGATGGGGCTCATATACTGACAAGGCATGAAAAGCAATATTGTGTAGCAGTAGATAGTTTGTGCTTGTATGAAGGTGCAGGTGGGTGTCTGTGTGTGTGTGTGTGTGTGTGTGTGTGTGTGTGTGTTTCTGTGGGAGTTTCTGCTTGCGTTGTGGTCAAGCCACAGAGAGTATTTCATACATGTCATACACAGTGCCATCCAGGTCAAGTACCTTGCTGGCATATTATTTTCCACATATCATCAGGTAGGTCGCTTTGACGTTTATGCATTCTACTTTGTATTCACAAATCCAAATTCGACCAAAAAAAAAAAAAAAAAAATAGAATAATTACAAGAACTCACCGCGGTTTGGAACAGCAGATAAAGTTTAACTGGGTATTTCCCATTCTCTTGCTGAATCTCGCTGACTCTCAACTGCCGAACTCATTTCACAGTTTGTCGGGGTTCAATAGCAACTCCGCGGAGAAAAAAAACGGCACTCCAAAAAACACTAGTACACACTCAGGGATCCGAAAAGAGATAAAAGTGATCGGTGAGGAATTAAGGCTGCTCCGGACCAATCCGTCGCACGGTTCTACACCAGTGAGAAACTTTGACTTTCGCTGGGGGTGAAAAGTCGGCTTATCCCGGTGTATTTCAGCGATCCTAGAAGAAGAGGCTTTGACCTTTCTGAGGATAATGACTTTACAAAATGAAATCATCCAGCAGGAGATGTAGTCAAGAGGAGAGACGAGGAGAGAGAGGCGGAGGAGGAGGAGGAGAGAGACTCAAGGAGCGCAAAGGGGCTGTCGATTAGAAGATTAAAAAGACGCGTTTGCGCATTTGTTTCAGCCAGAAACCGGCGGGGTCCACTGTCGGACGGATGCGGCGGAATGCGGCTATACCGGGACGGAGACAGCCGCCCCACGAAGATGGTTAAATATCCCGTTATGAATTCCACCCCAGCGCCGTTTTTTTTCTACTTGACCCGCCTACTCCGCATCGCTGTGTGGAGGAGCTGAGGAGCCAGATCCTGTAGAAACTGTAGGTAGGCGCCCGGCAGCAGATAACAGGCATGGGCGCCTCAGCTCTCCCCTGTGGCCCCTCTCTCACTTAGTCACATGTTTAAGACACAAGTAGCCCTCTGTAATAGCTGCCAAAGGAGGGTAGAATAAGGTAGGGGACGTGGAGAGAATGATAACAAGCGTTTTGGTAACGGTCCCCCTCTCTCCTTCGCACTTTAAATGAAAAGCGCTGGTGTGCACTAAGCGAAATGGCACTCTTGTCATTAACTTTATGCCCTAATATAGTTATTTTAATGCTGCACTTATTTATAAAGACATGGGCAATGGAAGTAATTGAATATCCCCCATAACTACTTGGCTGGTCCACTCCAAAAAGCGCCTCCAGAGAGGACATCAACATTTAATTCCTTATCTGTCTGAGCTGTCACATTAGTCAGAGGAGAGCGAAGGTGTTGAGCATAATGTCTAATCCTCTTTGGTTTTGTCTTGTGGAGCATGCCTATGCATGAACCATGAGTCATTAAGTGGTACTGCAAAGGCAGCTCTGCTAAAATCACCATGCAGCAGAGACTACAGCCACTGAGTGACTGAATAGATGCTGGCATTTTCATAATGACTATGACAGCACACATTATAGTAACAGGGATCAGCGATGTTAAACTCTATACCCATGCACCTGATTTCATTTCAGACTGCCCTGATCAAAACCAGCGCCAGAGCGTGTAGGATTTGAACTGACCAGTACAAGACTGCTCTGCAGGAATAATTAATATGCAGTGGGAAAAGAGGGTCTTTTGTCTGAATTACATCTGAAATACAATTTGTATCCTTCAGTTATGTGGACATTCCTGGGTAAGTAGGTTTTAAGCCCACGATGGCTAACAGTGAATCCTAAATAGTTAGTGTGAACATTAAATATCAAATATTGAAATTCAAAAATGCAATATTTGTTGCAGTTAGTGTTTTAATGTGAGATATCTCAGTGTTTATCAGTATTGACACCATGCTTGACTGTTAAAGCACTTCTTTAATTGGATTACTACCTCAATAGCAATATTCTTATGCTGCATACTGTGAACTTTAGCTCATTCCCTGGTGAATTATTTCCCCATTGCTACACATAACTATAACATCTCTTTTATTAAAATAGCATCTCATACATTTTTTTTCTTCAGATTTTATTGTCAGATTTCTTTGTTTTTCTCCTTGACTTGCAGAACTTGATTTTTATAATTATTTTGTACTATGTCTATTGTTATGCACCAAAACACCAAGGCAAATTCCCTATATGTGAAAACCTACTTGGCAATAAACTTGATTCTGATTCTCATTCTAATGTGAAGGGTCAGGGTGCTGCAGGGCCTTATCATGTATAATACAATGTGGGTGGTGATCGTGGGTCACTGGTTAACTCATGATTCCGTTGGGTTTAAAGAAACTAAATCTACCCAGAAACCGCAGAAATTAATCTGTGAAAGCAATCAGGTCTTGGAATTGTACAGGCACAGCAGCCTCAGTGTGGTGCTAATTAACCCAGTTCCCTGTGTGTTTCAGTGTCCATTTAGTATGCTGTGCTGTGCTGTAGCTGTCCGTGGTTCTGAAGTTGATTTATGTCGCGTCCCAGCAGAGATTTGTGCCAGATTTGGTGTGACACAGACTCGGTTTTATATTCCTAACTGTCAATTCCGATCGGGACAGTGCCGCAAATGTGACAACTTGTTAGAAAAGTCTCATTAATTTAACCCTTACCATAAGTGTATCCATCCATCTGTGTGCTACATTAGAAAAACGACAGCGTTGTTCCCATCCCAATCCATTCATCATTCAAATTAAACCCATCCGGCTCCGTGGTTGTTGTGGTTGATGATAAGCTTATGGGTGGGGTGCTGTCCATGGTGCTGGAACCAGCCTCGCGCTGTTTGGAGCCCCTGGGATCAAAGTTTAACTTTTAGATTAAAAACGACTTAAATGCTTGATTGGATAAGTGACTCAGTGTATTTACATTAGCAAAACCTTACCAAGAGTGCTCTCCTTACATAACAGCAAACTAAAAATAATACCACTTTATCTGATTGTGTTCTATATAAAAAACAAAAACAAAACACTTAACATTTCACTAGAAATACATTTTCCCGATATGGCCCTTTATCGGAAACAGTGTCCCCTTTTTCTTGCTAAGTACTGTAATTCCATTAATTTCACTATCAACCATTAATGACTTCCATTAGCATATTAATGAGTGATGTTCATGAAATGGATCTCCATCATGTCTGGTGGAAGTGGAGCAACCCAGTGGATTTGCGGCTCCAGTGTCTGTGACGAGCAAGGCTGTGTAACTAATTTACACCTTAAGCACAGTCTCATTATAGGACCTGGGAGTGTCTGGAGAGCATCACATTCATTTTAGCTGTTTGACTGTTGGACGGATGCAGAAAATGTTCCTCCAATAGGGAGAGGGGTGTCACGTGTAATATTTGGCCTATTTCACTGTCATTCCTCATTTTCTAATGCCAGTGTTCCCGTCAAAAAGAGTTCACATCCATGTCAGCAATGAGTCACTCCTGAATCAGAGATGTAACCTTTTTTGGGGGGCTGTTGGGTTGGGCTCGCATGCTTGTTTGATTTTGCATTTTTGACAATAGCAACTTTAAAACATGACAGGATTTGCGATTTCTCCCCATTCTGTGCTCCATCTCCGTAGATCTTACTGTATAGCTGACTGGCTGACTGTCAGGCTCCTGCAAACTCTTAAGCAATTCCTCCACAGTCACACATAGGCTGAACACCCCTATAATTTGACCTTAGCCGTCCTCAATATCCCTCAGGCAGGCATGGAGGACAGTTGATTCAGATAACTCCATTCCACTGGGCCTGTGAAATGAATTTAGGTCTGTTCAACTAAGGGCCCATTCATTTTGGCTCCATTTCACTGTCTATCATTTCCCCAGAATACCATCAGACCAGCAGTTATCTATTCTATATTTAAAACAGCTAGGATTATTTGGTGCAGGGGATGAATATACCTCATACTTCATACAGATTACCTCAAGCTATCTTGTGTTACCTTCTATCTATTGCTGCACTACAGATTCAGTATTATAATATAAGCCAGTGCCAGCAGTATCATACCCTGTTTATTACAGTATATGCTTATCAGTGCATACCCAGGACAAAAAGGTCCACGAACAGAAGGAACTTTTAAACTGCTCATAGGGAATATTGAACTTTTTGTCTCATCACAAAGCAAATTCTGCTGCTTCCTCTCTTGACTTTAAGAAGGTGATCATCATTATTTACTTTTTATTGAACACAGCAAAATATCAAGAACAACCCCATTGACACCTCTCTTTATTCAGTGCGGAAAAAGACTTAATGATACTCTTCAGGGTTAATGTTTTAATCTACCGGAACTTCTCATAATATCATAACCAGTTCCCAAATGCACCCTACCGTTGTACTTATTATACGATAAACAACACTGTGTGTAATGACCAATACGAGGCTTAATGATGACCCTGATGAGAGGAAGAATTAAGTTGATACCAGAGGCAGAGTTATAAAGGTGAGATAACCTTGTTTTCAGCTGGAAGCAACAACGGTAATACTGCGATAGTAATCAGTGTTTTCATTCAAGATATTTATCACGGTATGGCAGCTTCATGTGGCCGCTAATTCAGTGGGATTGTAGGATTGATAAAACAACTGTGGAGGTGGATGAGGAAGGTAAGCTGCTTTGTCTACCCTTCAGTAAACACAGATCACATTTGCAGTCTCATACAGATAATGTGCTATTCTTCTGAATAAATATTTCACCCTTTCATATGATGCCATAAGAACTGCAGGATTAAAGTGCTTTAGTGGAGTTTTGAGTAGTAACTGGAAATGCAAATTGTGTTTTCTTTCTGCGGCTACAAAAAAAGTTATTGGCACAAATCCCTGGATAGGCTCAAAAAAATCACATCAACCACAGTCAAAGTGCCCTTCGGTTAGGCACTGAACTTACAATTACCCGTTGAGTTGTTCATTGGTTCACTGGCGAACAAAACAGAGCTGTAATAAACATTTGACAAAGAATTCCCACTTTAACCACTCCCTTGTTGTTTTTGTAATGTATTCCTTTTCATCATGTCGGGTATAAACGTTTAAAAAGTTAAAATGATGAAAAAAAAGAAAGATCTGCAGCACAGCTGGTCTCTGTCTTTGTAGTCACACATTTAGACAGTGCAGACATTATCAGTCAGTTCTCTTCCAGAAAAAAAAAAAAAAAAAGAGGGAATTGAGAGGCCAGATATGGATAGACCAATGTGCCTTTATACCTAGAGTGTGCTGCCATGGAGGAAGCCTATCATTGAAACGCAATGAACAGATAGCTTGGAGATTTATCAGAAATGATATACTGCTGTGAATGAGAAGGGTATGGCTTCTCCATTACCCATCCATCACCGATGATGTATTGCAGATAAACTACCAGGCAGCAACAAGCTCTTGCTGAGAGGCTGACCTCGTTGATGAAAGCGAAAACTCCCCCATGGCCATCCCAGCATACACAGCCCCCTCTTTTCAATACAACAGTCAGAGCTTGTCTCTGTACAAGGGAACTGGTATCAACACTATTACTTCTTGGGGGGGGCAGTGACAGAAAAGAACAAACACACAATTTATCTCAAAACATGAGATGGAAAAGTCTCCCTCCACGACATCAATGCTTGAAGGTGAAGTCAGAAGGCTATTCTTACAGCGCCCAATGTGCATCTTCACTAGCGTGCCCCTCACCTGTTCATCTAGCACCTGGTTTTATTCCATATTGACAGTGATAAATAGACTGCAGCTGAACCTGCATTTTGGTTTTTGATGTAAACATTTGATGACCACAAGTAAAAGAAAATCTGTCCTGAGCAGTGCTTAGTTTTACACTTCAGTGACACCAAACAGAAGCTCAGCACACACTTTCTTTTGAGCAGAGGAATCAGTTCAATCAGTAAACTGCCACATTATCAACCTAAGTCAGTCTAGAAACACGTTTTACCAAAGAGATGACTCATCTTTCAAATAGGACAAAAAACATGACCCTCAGCAATAACTCTGCACATAATAATATCC